AGGCACAGACTGTTTTATAAATGGGGAGAAAATTCAGAAATCTGAAGTGCAAAGGGACTTGGGAGTCGTAGTCCAGGATTCTCTGCAGGTAAGCTTGCAGGTTGAGTCGGTAGTTAGGAAGGCAACTACAATGTTGGCATTTATTTCGAGAAGACTAGAATATAAAAGCAGCGTTGTGCTTCTGACGCTTTATAAGGCTCTGGTCAGATCACATTTTTAGAATATTGTGAGCATTTTTGGGCACCATACTTCAGGAACGAAGTACTAGACCAGGAGCAAGTCCACAGGAGGTTCACGAGAATGATCCCAGGAATGAAAGACTTAACATATGAGGACTCTGGGTCGATACTCGATGGAGCTTAGAAAGATAAAGGGGGATCTAATTGAAACTTATAGGATATGGAAAGTCCTGGACAGAGTGGACTTGGAGACAATAGGGACTGCATGGAAAGTCCTGGATAGAGTGGACATTGGGAAGATGTTTCCATTGGCAGGAGAGACTTAGGCCCACGGTCTCAGCCTCAGAGCGGAGGGAAGACCCTTTAGAACGGATATAAGCAGCAACTTTTCAGCCAGAGAATGGTGAATCTATGGAATTCACTGCCACAGAAGGCTGTGGGAGGCCAGGCCATTGAATACATTTAAGACTGAGATAGATAGGTTCTTGATTATCAAGGGGATCAAGAGTTATGGAGAGAAAGTGGGAGAATGGGGTCGAGAAACTTATCAGCCAAGATTGAATGGCAGATGAGGTTCGATGGGCCGAATGGCCTAATTTCTGCTCCTACGTCTTATAGAACATAGAACATAGAACTGTACAGCACAGTACAGGCCCTTTGGCCCACAGTGGTGTGCTGAACTTTTACCCTAAACCTAAGGTCTATCTAACCTCCACCCCTACCTTATACTATCACCCGTATGCCTATCTAATAGTCGCTTAAATGCCCCTAATGAGGCCGACTCCACTGCCCTCTCCGGCAATGCCCCGACCACTCTCTGAGTAAAGAACCTACCTCTGATGTCTCCCCTATATCTACCTCCACTTGCTTTAAAACTATGCCCCCCGCGTCATAGCTACCTCCATCCTGTCCACTCTATCTATACCTCTGATCATTTTGTACACCTCTATCAAGTCAAAATGGAATAGTTATGTAATATTACGACATTAAGCCTGCTCTAATTCGAAGATAACTAAAGTCTGACAGTCCTGAATAAGTGCGTGGACCACATAAAAGCTATGGATTCCCAAAGGATACAGGAACAACACATGGTTTGCCCCTCAGTTGGCTGGAGATGTGGGTTCTCTCCTTCACTGTACTCTCAATGTTCAACTTGTTCCGAAATCAAAGCCCCATTACGGCCTCCCAGAAACAGCAAGGGCTTTCTTGCAGGAATGACGTCGGGATATTTCTGCCCACAAGAGGCCCCAACAGCTTCCCGGAAGCTACAGCGCACGTGCGCGTACTCCCTCCTGCTCTTGAGGCTGGCCACGGTCAACTTCATGTCAACCAATCACCCTTCTCCGAAACGCAGAGGGGGTGGTTGGGGGTCAGGGTGGGTAGGAGGAGGAGGAAGGGGAAGGACGAACAGCCCCACGGAGGAAACTTCCGGATCATTCCGAGGGGGTTGGTGAGGAGGGGATGCTGGATGCTCACTTCGCGGCGAAGGCTCGGTTGCAGTTTTGCAGGAACTCCAGAATTCCTCGGTCGGAGATTGAGGAGAGTGGGGGGTCTTGGGGTTGGGGGAATGGGTAAGATTTTGGGCACCGGTGGAGGTAGTAGAGAGATCCATAACATCATTGACTCGGTGTCCGTGGGCCAAAATCCCTGTCCATTCTCCGGGCGGTTTGGGCTGGCCGATCAGCTTTGCTTCCCCAATCCCCGACCCCAATTGCCCCCTCCCCTCAACCAGAGGATCCCTCGGCAGACCCCCCCACCCCCCTCCATGGTAGTGGGGTTATGGGTCACTGGGAGGCAGAAACTCTGGGTCCCTCCCTCCTGGTGGCAGGCATTAGAGGTGGGGGAGGGGACCGTTGTGAGGGGATGGTGGGACTCCTCTCCCCTCAAGACTAAGCACATGCCCCACCATCCCCCCCACCCCACTCTCCTGTAGAGGAAGTTAGGAAATCACCAGTTCTGCCCCCACCTCCTCAGCAACCCGCCCGTCCCCCAACTAAGGGCCAAAGTTTCGGGGTCACAGGTCTGGGTTGTCCCCAGGGTAGTGGGGGGGACCAGGAATTGAGAGGGGCAATATTGTGGCCGGTTTGGGTTCCCTGAGGCACCCAAATTGCCCCAGGCCCACACGCCCCTCCCTCGACTCCTGTGACCGAGCCGGTGAGAGAGGAGGAGCCGCTGCCCTGCTCTCGAGATGCTGTCGGTACCTCATCCTGCAGGTAGGAGTAGGCCTCGAGCCTGACCCCGCAAACCTGCTGTTGACCCGTATCCCTTTGCTTGGCGTAACCGTGCCTCTCACAGCGTAGTGATGGAATCTCCCCTCCTGATTAGCCCCAGAGCTCTTCCACTCCTTATTCCCCCTCCGCCTCCTCTCTGAACCTCGAAGGTTACTTACAGCATGGAAACAGGCCATTCAGCCCATCAAGTTTCACACTGAACCTCTGAAGGGCATGCTGCCCTATTCCTGTATTTCCCCATGGCTACCCTGCACACGACGGGGCAACTTAACATGGGTTCTGAGGAAGGGTCACCGTTAACTCTGTTTTCTCCTTCACAGACGCTGCCAGGCCTGCCGAGCTTTTCCAGCAACTTGTGTTTTTGTTAACATGGGCAATAATGCCTTTACCTGCGCATCTTTGGAGCGCGGGAGGAAAGTGGAGGAAAACCGCACGGACACAGGGAGAACGTCCAAACCCCACACAGAGGCTGGAATCAAACCCGGGTCCCTGGCGCAGTGAGGGGGCAGTGCTAACCGCTGAGCCACTGTGCCGCCTCTGCCAGGAATGGGCCTCCGCTCTGACGCTATCCCCTTCACCATCGGGGTTGGAGTGTCAAGGCCTGGCCGCCTCGCACGTTACACGGGAAGACGCCTCCCACCTTCCGGGAGGCCTCCACACGGGCAGGTGGGCATGCACGGGTCGTCACCTGGTGTGGGCGGAGGTCAGGCCCACGTGCGGGCACTTTAACCACCTGCCGATAGTTGGACGGGAGGTACAAGGGTGCGGTTGGCCGGCCCGGGGTCAGCTGGCGTGTTGCACCCGCAGGGTGTGCGTCCACAGCGATGACCCGTACCACGAGGATCGCCGCCGTCACCCTCAGGACGTCTGTTACCAGGATCAGACTGATGTCTCAAACATGGCCGGCTTGGGCCGGGTCAACCTGCCGTCAGTCTATCATCATGGAGACGCACCCCAAACATCGTAGGTTCGAGCGGCTAGCGGACGGGAGGGTCACGGACGTCGGGGGAGAGGGGGGTGGGGTGACCAGAGTCGGGGGCCTGCCGGTCTGCACAGGCCTGGGCTGGGTGCTGGGTGGCAATGGCCGAGCCTGGGATCTGGGTGGGGGAAGCCTGCGCTGAGTCGGGTGGGGGACGGCTGGGCTGGGTGCCGGGTGGGTGAGTCCTGAGCTGGGTGTTGGGTGAGCAAGGGCTTGGACTGGGTGTTGGTTTCGGAGAGGCCTAGGTTGGGTGCTGGATAGTGGAGGGCCTGGGTTGGGTGCCGGGTGGGGGAAGCCTGGGTTGGGTGGTTGGGGGGGACAGGCCTGAACTGGGAGCTGTGTGGGGAAGGGTCTGGGCTGGGTGCGGGGTGGGTGAGGCCTGGGCTGTGTACAAGGAAGGGAAGGGCTGGACGAGGCATTAGGTGGGGGAGGACTGAATTGAGTGGTAGGTTGGGAGGGCTTGGGCTTGTTGCTGGGTCGGGGAGAGCCTGGGGTGGGTGCTGGGTAGGACACGCCTTGGGCGGGTGCTGGGCACAAAAAGGCTCTGGGCTGGGTGCTGGGTGGGTGAGGGCGGAGCTGTGTAAGGGGGCGGGGGGTTTCGACTAGGCTTTGGGTGGGGGTGGACTGAATTGAATGCTCGGTAGAGAGGGCCTGGCTGGGTGCTGGCTCGGGGAGAGCCTAGGCTTGGTGATGGGTGTGTGAGGCCAGTGCTGGGTACTCACTGGGGGTGATGGGGGTGTTGCTGAACTGGGCACTGGGTGGGCAAGGACTGAATTAAGTGTGAGGTGGAGAGGGCGTGGGCTGGGTGCTGTGTGGGGGAGGGCCTGGATTGGGCGCTGGGTCGGGGAGGACTGGGTTGGGCGCTGGGTAGGGTAGGCCTGGGTTGGGTGCTGGATTGGGGAGGCCTGGGTTGGATGCTGGGTAGGGGAGGCCTGGGTTGGGTGCCGGATGGGGCAGGGCCCTGTCTGGATGCTGGGTCAGGGAGGCCTGAGCTGGGTGCTATGTGAGTAGGGCTGGGCTGGGGCGATGTGTTGGGGAGGGCCTAGGCTTGGTGCTGGGTTGGGGGAGGACTGAGCTGTGTACTGGGCAGGATTTAACTATGCATTGGGTGGGGGAGGACTGAATTGAATATGAGGTGGAGCGGGCCTGGCTGGGTGGTGGGTGGGGGAGGGCCTGGGTTGGATCCTCAGTAGCGGAGGTCTGAGCTGTGCGCTGGATTGTGGAGGGCCTGGGCAGAGTGCTGGGTGAGGTAGGGCCTAGGCTGGGTGCTGCGTGCAGGAGGCCTGGGCTGGGTGCTGGATGGTTGAGGCCTGGTCTGTGTTCTGTCTGGGGGAGGGTTAGACTAGGCATTGGGTAGGGGAGGACTGAACTGAGTGGTAGGTGGGGAGGCCCTGGGTTGGGTGCTGGGTCGTGGAGGGCCTAGGTTGTGTGCTGGGTGGGGGAGGGCATGGACTGGGTGCTGAATTGGGGAGGCTTCGGCTGGGTGCTGGGTGGGGGTGGTCAGGTCTGGGTGCTGGGTGGGGCGGGGACTGGTTTGGGTGCTGGGTGGGGGACGGTCTGCTCTGGGTGTTGGGCAGGGTTGGCTTGGACTGGGTGCTGTGGTGGGAGGTCTGGGCTGGGTGCTGTGCGTGGGAGGCCTGGGCTGTGCATTGGGTGGGTCAGTCCTGAGGTAGGTGCTTGGTGAGGCCTGGACTGGGTGTTGGGTAGGGGAGGACTGGACTTGGTTTTAGATGGGGGAGGACAGAATTGGGTGCTGGGTGGGGACAGACCTGTGATGGATGTTGTGTGGGGGACCACCTCTACTCTATGTTGAGTGGGGTAGACCTGGGTCAGTCCTGAGGTAGGTGCTTGGTGTGGCCTGGACTGGGTGCTGGGTGCTGGGTGGGGGAGGACTGGACTAGGCATTGAGTGGAGGAGGAATGTATTGAGTGCTGGGTAGAGATAGCCTTGGCTGGGTGCTGGGTGAGTGAGGCCTGGGCTGGGTTCTGGGTGAGTGAGGCCTGGACTGGGTTCTGGGTGAGTGAGGCCTGGGCTGGATGTTGGGTGAGTGAGGCCTCGGCTGGGTTCTGAGTGAGTGAGGCCTGAGCTGGGTGCTGGGTGAGTGAGGCCTGAGCAGGGTTCGGGGTGAGGGAAGCATGAGCTGTGTACCGGGTGGGGAGAAGGCTCGGCTTTGGGTCGGGGAGGATTGAGTTGAGTGCAAGGTAGAGAGGCCCTGGCTGAGTGAGGTTTCAGGGAGGCCTGGACTGGGTGCTCTGTGCAGGAGAGCCTGGGTTGGGTGTTGTGTTGGAGAGGCCTGGGCTGGGATCGGGGTGGGCCTGGGTTGGGTGCTGTATCAGGGAGGGCCTGGGTTGGGTGCTGGGAAGGGGAGAGCCTGGGCTGGGCACTGGGTGGGGGAGGGCCTGGGTTGGGTACTGGGGGGGGGGAGGGCCGGTTTGGTTGCTGGGTGGGGGAGGGCCTGGGTTGGGTGCTGGGTGGGGAAGGGTCTGGTTTGGGTACTGGGTAGGAGAGGGCCTGGTTTGGGTACTGGGATAGGAGAAGGCTGGTTTGGTTGCTGGGTGGGGGA